TTTTTATTTTGACATGATTGACAGCAGCTGTGGGCGGGAGTCAGGCTGAGGTTAATTACACAGTTTTAACCTTTAGTTTAAACAGTTTGGGTTAATAGTTTGACATTATGGGTGATCTTGTTTCTTCCCTCCCCTCTGCAGGAAGTTAAATATACTGAAACGGATAAAAGTCGTGTTTTTGTTTGTAGTTCTAGGAGCGGAGAGCTAAAGGAGAACCCTGTCTGATCACAGGGTGGCTTGTTTTACTGGGAGGGAGCGGTCCGGAGCTAAAGACCAGGTTCTGAGATGACAGAGAGTCCAAAAACAGAACCGAGCGATGGGATTAGAGTCCAACTGATGTGGCTCAACTTTGCTCTGTCAGTGATTTTTCTCTGGTTAGACAGAGTTTGTATTAAAAATTCCTTTAAAAACAGTACTGGAGATCAATAGGGTTTTATTGAACCAGATAAAATGCTCCACTCCCACAAATATCTAAACATAAAAAACACAAAAATGTCAATTGTTCAGTAAATTTTGTAGATAAAAAATTATAATTCTGTGTGGTGGCAGAATAGGCAAATGCTAAGGGCACCATCCATGTAGGAGGGCACCACAAATGGAGGACGAAAAACAATATTTTATAACTTTTTATCTGAGTTTTAGTGAAAATCTCAGATGAAGTTCAAGTTAAAATCTATTGAACCAGATAAAAACTCAGCTTCTGTCTCTCAAACAAACTTCAGCATCTAAAACAGCCTTTAGAAAAGTTTTACAGTTTTTATTCAATCACAGTTCAAATCTGATGATTTTCTACAAAATATTCAGTTGACATTATTATTTTCTCATATTTTTGTGAACAAACTATTTTTATTATTAATACAAAATACAAATTATACATCGAATCGTAGGTGTTTTTTTTCCAAAAGCTGCCTCCATAACCACTGTAGGATTCGTTGTTTTCTGTTAAATCTACCCAGAATGCATTGCGCACACACCCCAGCTCCCATAGACTTCCCTTATATTTTAACTCAGTGGTTCCCAAACTTTTTATCTTCTGACCCACAAAATATTCATTGCAAAAACTTGTGACCCCAAACATTACTGGTCTGAGTACACGAACTTTGTTAATAACCCTAAAAACACAGGCTACGCAAATATAAATACTTATTTATACTTATTTTGTGTTTTTGTAATACATGTAGGGGAAATATTACATCACCAATTATTTTTATTACACTTTAAATTGATTTCTGAAGTGCAGTGGTTCCCAAATTTTTCAGCTTTTGACCCACAAAATAACAGTAGACCCGTGCCCACAATTATTTTTGGATGATAAACATTTGTATCAGGTCAACTAAACATGGGCATAGTTATAATATTTATTATTCTACATTTATACATTTTAGGCAACTAAGGCAAAAATGTAATTAATTTATAAAATCTTTTCAGGACCCCACCTTGATGTTTCAGGACCCCACTTTGGGTCCCGACCCCAACTTTGGGAAACACTGTTTTAACTGGAGGTGAAGGGTCTCTTTGACTCGTCGAACTCCGCATAAAAACTCAAACAGGGTTCAGGAATTTTCAAACTCCGAGTTACATTTTTCTCACATTGTTTGCTTGAGGCTTAGTTTTTAGTCTGCATGCTTTTTTTTCTGCCTCTCAATGACGCAGCAGTCAGGGAGTGAGGAGAAACAGGTGCGTGGCTAAAATTTCTTTTAAAATTTTCTCCTAAATTATCATTCCGTTACAATCGCTCATCTTTTCAGCCGCTCTTTTAGCTATTTGCTTTTTGTTCTGCGCACGTCCGATCGCGGCCTATAGCTTCCCTTGATTTCCTCCTCTTTTTGGATCTCCACCTAGATTTTTTTCACATTTTTTAACTGTTATAGATTAGTAAATCAAGTAATCTGCCCTCATTTTCATCCACCACTGTAATAAAACAACTTAAAATAAAAAAACAACCACAAAACATCGTCCCTTGTTGAAACCAGAGTCCGCAACAACAGCAGCGGTGTAGCTGCAGCCGTGTCAGACAGGATCTCAGCTTTAAATCCAAAGAAAAAGCTTGGAAACACTGCACACACACACACACACACACACACACACACACACTGAGTGGTGGTTTTGAAGACAGTGTAAGAGTTGCGTACGCCTCCGTTTCCTAAAAATACCCAGCAGATGAGGGGCGGGGAGGTTAGGGTGAGGCTGGTGTGGGGAGATATAAATGGATGCTAATTGTATGGCTCTCTTCAAAACGCTCTCAGATCCAGAACACACACACACACACACACACACACACACACACACACACGCACACGCGTGTGTGTGTGTGTGTGTGAAGATGATCCCTGTTCGCAGAAGTAAGTTTGAGGATACTTCCTCTCACACACTCGTTGCTTTTAAAAACAACACACACACACCAGATTAAAACGGATAATAATTTCATGGCTCTCAGACTGAGGGCCCAGAACTCTGGTGGTGATAATCCTGCTCGGAATAGAGTTCATCTGAAAGCAAAGGGAGCTGGGATTTTCCTGCCTCCTTACAGCAGAAGTTTAAGAAAAGATGACTGATGCAGACTTCACCCCCCTGAGTTTGTCTGAGACTCACATTAGTTCTGTTCGGATGCACAGAATCTGAGGATGCTGCAAAACTCTGCAGATATTCTGGTCTCAAGTCGCCCTGCTGAAGCAAGCGAGGAGTTTTTGCTTTGAGCTGAGAGTACGAATAACTCTAGGCTGCTGCCATGTGGAGCTTTAGCTCAGTATCTGTAGGACTCACTTTTGTCTTGGCTAACATCAATCAGCTGCGGCGGCTATCTTGAATTGGATCAACTCCAAATTTAAATCAGTTGTAGACACACGACCGACGATCACTCCTTAAGAGTTTCATTCAAATCTATTTGTTAGTTTATGAGATATTTTGCTAACAGACAGACCGTGTTGACTCTTAACAGTTCGTGCCAAATTTTTCAAACAAAAACTGCTGCAGCCTGTCAGCACTCTGCGTATGTGTTGAGACGAAGTCTCAGCTACTACCACACCAGATTTTAGCTCCGTAACTGTAAAACTAACAGAGCTGCAGCCGTTTTTATGTTGAATAAATGCTTTTAGCTGCAGCGGCTATCTTAAAATTAATTGACTTCAAATTTTATTAAGCTGTACCTATGCACCCAGTGATTACTTCCTGGGAGTTTATAAAAGTCTAGCCTGTGGTTCATGAGATATTTTGCTGACAGACAAACTATCTTGTCGCCACACAGTTTAAAGGAAAATGTTGCAAAGCAAATGACTTTGCTGTCATTTGTCTCCACCTGGTGGTCAATTCTAAGAATTACAACTAATATTTTGAATCGGGAATGGGCTGTGGGTCTAATTCGACCTTTTGGAGAACCGTTCATGACCTCGTACTTGATGTTTTGTGACTCACAATTAAACAGTTGTTGCTTTAATTTATAGTCACACATTAATGAGAAATAGTGAGGTTTTTTTTTTGATAACACACTGATTGTGTTGACTCTGACAATTGATGCAGGGGTTTTAAGAAACTTTGTGCTGCAGTCTGTTAATGTTCCAAGTATGAATTGAGAAAAAGTCTCAGCTACTACCACACCAAAGTTTAGCTCAGCAGTTGTAAAACTGACAGAGCTTTAGCCATTTTTGAGTTGGGTAAAATCACTTAGTTGCAGCGGCCAACATAAAATGTACGGGCTCCAAATTTTAAACATTTGTAGATAAACTTACAGTGATTACTTCCTGGGAGTTTCATCAAAATCTGACTTGTGGTTAATGAGATATTTTGCTAACAGACAAACAATAATAAGACCAGCAGTGGTTCCCAAAGTTGGGGTCGGGACCCACATTGGGGTCCTGAAACATCAAGGTGGGGTCCTGAAAATATTTTCTGAATTGATTACACTATAAAATGACAGCTAAGCACATTTTTTTTGCCTTTTGTTGTTGCAAAAATAATAAAATTAGCATACTTTAAATAGACAAACGTAGCACAATAAATAACGTTATATGCTCTTGTTTATTTGACGTGAAAACAGTGTTTATCAACCGACAACAGCTGGGGGCTCAGGTCTCTGCTGCTGGTACTTCAGTTTTTGAACCACAGTTTTAAAGCAAAAAAAAAAAAAAAAGTAAAGCAGATGAATTTGTGGTCATCTGTCTCCCTCTGGTGGTCAAATCCAGGATTTACAATCAATTTAACAAGAAATTATACTTACTGTAAATGAGGAATAGGCTAAAGTGTGTGTCTAATATGTGTGAATGAGCATTTTAGGGTTAAACTTTGACCTATTTTCAGTCACTTCAGCTCTTTTTGTAGGAAACATGTTCGACATTTGATTAAATTTATTGCTCACAGTTTGTTTTGTGTTTTTATTTAAGGCATTTCTCAGTCAAACTTTTATTTGTAATTCCTTTAGATATTTTGTAGAACCCATTATTGGTGTTTTGTGACCCACATTTAAGGAGTTTTTGCTTTAATTTGTAGTCCTGAATGGTTGTTGCATTCCCTTGTTTTTCTGTGCATCAATCATCATTACCATCATCATTAGATAAATCCCTTTCAATTTATAAATCAGCTAATTGCAGATATTTGTCTTGTTTCCAGAATTAATTACTGTCAATTTTAATTAGAAATGACAGCACTTATATTTAAATTTTCTTCCATCATGCTTCATGATTGAAGCAGTGTAATTTGTTGTTTCCAGGCAGGCCTCACATGTTCAAAAACCTGTGAAACACAAACAGAAGCAAAGAAACATAAAATGACATCTTTATAGTTTGTTTTTAACTCAAATAGATTTTTTTGTAATTTTATTGTTTTTAAGAACAGTGACTGAGTTTCATCGTTGATAAAACAAACTTGACTCCTCTCTGTTTTTATTAGCCATTTAAATGTCGCTGACCACCTATTCCACACTTTACGGTAAACCGGAGACAAACAAGTCCTCCAGTTCGCAACAGTGACGTCATCGCGCCGCGGAGCCGAAGCGACGCTCGGCGATTGGGTGAGCCCGGAGCTAAAAGGTTTGATTCAACTAAAAAAAAAAAAAGACACGACGCGGAAAACAACGACAGCAGCTGCGGCCGCACGGAGCCAGATCAAGTCGCGGGGGGAACTTGTCGGCTCGGTGTTCCAGACGTTTCGGGTAAGAAATGAAGCTTTTTGGGAGCATTTTGAAATTAAAAAGGCAGACCGCTTCCGCCCTGCGCGAAGTTTCTTTTGTCCTCCTCTGACAACAACAACAAAACAAGAGACAAGCAGAGAGTCTGCACAGACCCGAGGACACGGCTTGTTTTAACAACGATCAGGCGATGAAAACTTACAAATGTTACACATTTAAACCGTGTCTGTAAATAAAGTGTCGGTGAGTTGATCATGTGAAAACACCTTTGGACCTGCAGGGTGTGTTTAACACAGGTGGTTTCATCACTGATTCAGAGTTAATGACTTCAGGTATGGAACACCAACACTGACATAATTAACAATAAATACAAGTTAAGTAAACACGCCGCCATGCCCAATAATACACACTTAAAAACTGTGCTTTTAGATAGGGGTGTAAGAAAATATCGATACACTGAAATATCGCAATATTAAACCACTGTGTCAATGTGTAATTAAAGAGTAACTTACCCCAAAATTAACTTTTTTAGCTGATAAACTGTCTAGAATGTGTCTAAAATGTTATATAGTACTGTTTCTGTGCTAATTTTGGTGTTTTTGAGCGTATTTGTTCAAATCTGTAATATTTGGTCTAAAAACGTATTTTTGCTGCTCAAATGGGT